TCTTCCTTTCCCTTCCACAGCCTAGCATAGTGCCTGGCACATGGTAGATCCTCAGTGATGATTTGAAATGACTTGAATATACCTCTGTTAGCTTGATAAACATAGGGATGTCATCTTCTAATTTAAGAGTTTTACTCTTAAGAAACAAGTCATTGTGGTGCAGTCTACAGTAAAAAGGAAAAGTTTGTTAAATTCATGCTCCAGTATTTCCCAGCAATATTTGTGCAATGTATATTGTCTCAGCTCCATTGACTCAGAATCAGAAACTCTCAAGACGTAAAATTAAGAGAGACCCCCAAGGAGAGTTGTGTTGTAAACACGAAATAGAAAAAGCTATTTAAATAAGGGACATATTGGTGGCTAAATCCTTCAGTTTCAGAACCTACCATATGAGATTTCCCAATCGTTGCACAATGAGAAGAGTTGCCCTAAAATTGTTCAAATTAACTTATTTCTTTTGAAAAATATGAAATAAAATATACAAAAGTGTTCAAAAAATGTAGACAAAGTAGCAGAAGTGCTTATGTACACCTGAACTAATTGTTAAATGTGTATTGGTATTTTTCCACGCAACAGAATCTTTCACTTTCAAGAAAACGTCATACGTGCCTCCTAAGTAAAACTTTCTATTAAAAAAACCTTTCTGGTTCCTCTCTTACCAACCTTCTCAGGAACAAAGTTGCTGTCTAACATTGTTAAGTATGTTGTATACTATTATTAAGTACACTAACTGTACAAACAAATTTATATTACCAATGTATAAAAATATGTAATGAGTTTTGCCATATGTCAAGTTTTAGACAAATATTTTAAGATGTAACAGATCTCATTTGGCAACTATTTTTATTCAATATATTCATTTCTGTTTATGTATGTTTGCATATCTGGATCATTCATTTTTAAATATTTAATGTTTATTAACAGAGTTTTAATTATAATCATTATAGTTTTATCAGGCTTTCCAATTAGTTAATTTTCATGTCCAATGTTTAAATGTTCTTTCTTCTCAATTGTATTATGGTTTCTCATTCTTCATGAAGTTGTTTCTTTTCTTATCTCTTGTTAATATATTACTCAGAAGAATCTCTACAGCAAAATGAAATTGGCAACAACAATATAATGAAACTGACCCCTCAGAGGAATTAAATAATTCGCACAGTGTCTCATCACTATCAAATGGAATAGCTGAGATTCAAAAGGACCGAAGCTCTTTTCATTAGCCATTCCCACTTCCATGAGAAAACAGTTTACTTTGGCAGTTCTTACTCTCCTGAATCGCTTGAATAATAATGATGGTATCAAGAAACAATGGAGAACAAATAGAAATAATGTGAACTTCACATCTGAGTGTATAAAGGGAAGAGTTAAGTCATGGTAAAGTAAGACTATTGTGCTTCATCCTCTCTATAACGGTTAGTCCTGGCTGTCAACTTAATTCATTTAAGAAATCCCTAACCATTAGTAAAGCACAGAGGGCATATCTGGAGGGGGTGTTTCTAGAGAAGATTGGCTTGTAAGACAATAAACTGAGGGGAGAGACCCAACCTGAATGTGAGTGACACCATAATCCAATTGTACGGGAGTGCAGGTAGAATAAAAGTGGAAACAAGAGGAATCATACTAGCACAGACTCTAGCTCTGGAACACTCTGTCTGTCTCTCTGTCTCTGTCTCCCTGTCTGTCTCTCTGTCTTTCTCTCTGTCTCTGTCTGTCTGTGTCTCTCTCTCTCTTTCTATCTCTCTGCCAAACAATTAGCTTGTCTGGGCCTGGCAGCTTGATGCAACTTATAATGATTTGAATCCATGTAATAGTGCTCACAGGTATTGAAATAATAATAAAAAGTAGTGTTGAATGAACCTGAAAATACAGGCTTCATAGTCCCTCTCAAAAGCATGTTTACACCTATTATTGTTTGTCTGAGTGCCTTCCCAAAGCCTCATGCAGTCATAGGAGAGTGGGCTTTTCTGAGGCAGCTGAATCTAGAGTTTGTAATTGCTTCATGGTCTAGTGCAGGGATTGAGGGGGCAAGTGTTTCACCTGCTCTAGGGCAGGTAGCCTCATTACAATATAGGACAGAAAGAGTCTTACTCTCTCTTCCTTTCTTGTTGCTTTTGGTGTCTTTCAGCACCATGAAAGCTTCCTCCTCTACCACACCATCCTGCTTTACAGACAGCCAATTATGGAATGATACCTCTACAAATTGTAAGTTAAACAGTTCTTTCCTCCTTTAACATAGGGTATTGGGTATTTTGTCTCAGCAATGAGAAAAGTAAGTAAGACACTTGTCAACATAAAAATTAGTAGATCAGCTGAACATTTGCATTTATATTGAGCAGAGTATTAGTCAATCTTAAGTTCTATATTAAATAGCAACTTGACACATTTCTTTATCAGCATTTCAAAGATTGGTTTTGTGCAAATGAAAACTTCACTATATAAAAGTCTCTCCTTTATTATGAGCATCTTTTACATTGCTTCACCTATATATGTATAAAACTATTGTTAATAAGTAGAGAAAATTGTGAAGGGAAGATTAGGAATCAGACTGTAATTCCTATGACTATGGTCAAAACAGTCCTGATTTTTATTAAATGCTGATAAGTAAACTATTATTATATATCAACCATGGATCAGACTGTCATGGTTTATGTCTGTGTCCCCCAGGACTCATGAGTTTGCATTGTGCATTTGTGATTGGTTCATTGTCTAGTGCTTGGATTGATGGTGTTAGTGCTACACCCACCTAGGGGTGGGGCCAGGATGTGATGTAATGGCAGGAAGTAGGAGTGTCTTGTTCTTTGCTGGTTCCTGCTTGCTGTTTGCAACTGCCATGAACTGCAGCCCAGCCATGCCCGCTTGCCTTGGAGCCAACTGAGTGTGGACTGAAACCTCCAAAAACTGTAAGAAATAAACCTTTCCTTTCTCAATTTGGGCTTCAGGTATTTTGTCTCAGTGACAAGTAAAAAGTAACTAAGACACAGACCCTTTGATAGTATATAAAATATTATAAGCTCCCTATAAAGGGCAGATTTGCAGAAGAAATTAAAGTTGAGGGTGGAGAAAGCTATGATTTGGGCAAGTGTAAGACACTAAATTCAGGACCAGATTTGTCTAAACTGCAAAGCCAAGTATCTTCTACAAGTACAAATTGACAGTAAGCTGAAAAGTCGTTGGTAGCAAAATGAGAAAGCAGGTTCTACTCTGTTGAACAAGTGTTTAACATAACCTTATGTTCAAAATTCCAAAGAATGTCATCTGATGACATTTTATGTCATTTTCGCCATGTTTATAAAAATGCTGAAATTTATATTTGGTTTATTATATCCATATTTCAGGAAAACAAGGCTTTATGGCATCTTTGTAGACAAGATAAAAATATATGAAATTAATATTGGCACAGGAGATAAAAATAATCTATTTAAGCAACAGAATGACTCAAACATAGATTAGTTAACAGCAATCTAAGTTTATAACACACACACACAAACCCATATGCACACACACACACACACACACACACACAATTTTGGGAATGTTTTCTCCTGAACTTTCAGGTGTTGGGAGATCAATGAACTGTGCCTGCTGCCTAAGACTTGAAAAGATTTCCTGGACATGAGGATTTCAAATCTAAAATGAGAAAATCTAGAGCACACTGAGACAAGTCTGTCATCTTATCAGAACAGCATATGTACGTTCTGCTATGCACCAGTGTTTTGGCTCTGATACAAGGAAAATAACCAGGTTCCAAGATTCAGATAATAGGAAAATTTACATTTTAATACTTAGGACTGGAAACACAACGCTTGCTTCAATTATCTTACACAATCTGGGAATCGAACTCATGACCATGCACTTGCAAAGCAGGTGTTTATGTCACTGAGCTAAATCCCCAGCCCCAATCTTACACAATCTTAAACTCAAATTTCTTCCTGAATGTTCTGTGCCTGTGCCTGGTGCTGACACAGATCAAAGCAACTATTGTTGTAAAGATGTATACATCTCCCCATGGTGCTTAAATCCATCATTTCCTTTTCAATGCCTTGAAATTAAAATAGCATTGATATTATTGTCCTCACTCATCACTGAGTGAGTAGTTGTTAAGAATGCCCCAACTCTAATCAAAAAGATTTACTGAAATCTAAAAGTCAAGGCTGAAATTTACAAGTTGACTCACTAACCAAGAAAGAACCTTGTGTTCTTTGTTAGCTGCTATCCAGGAAAAAGTGGTATGAATGACAGGTAATAAGTATGAGAATGTTTTAGACAAATTAAGGAAATGCTACTACTGGAAATTTGCAATGATGAACACACTCAGCATGTCTGTCAAAATATATCAACTTTTGGTTAAACATAATAAATTATTTTTGTTTAGATAAAAATTGGTTGGATTTCATTCCTTTTTGGAAAGCCTATGAGGAAGAAGAAAACATGTTAAATATTACTCACAGCCAGCTAAAAGGAAGAACTGGCTAATTTTTTTGATACAAAGTCTTCTCTTCAGATCTCAAATTGCTATGACATAACTTTGGTATAGTCGCCAATGATGTGTTGTAGGGTTCAATTTTTAATCCTGATATCTTAATTAATTTTTATGACAATGGTGATGGAGGTGATAGATTTTGCTTATTAAAATGTTTATTCCCAATTTTGATTGGAAAGCTTTTAAAATGAAATATTAGTTAAAAGGTAGAGTAATTGATTCCTCAAAGTCAGATCCTTTAGTTTTCCTAGCAAAATTTGGAGAAGTTCCTAGTTATTTATCAAAGCAGTGATGGATTGAAATCAACATTAATTAGTGGATTCATACTAAAGGAATTAATAAAATACCATAATCAAAGTGTTCTTTTTCTTTTCTTCTCCTTTCTTTCTTTGTCATTCTTTCTCTGTTCTAAAGTCAGTTGATAAGCATTTGCTAATACATTAGTTGGAAAAATCTCCTCCTGCAGGTTGCACTGCAAGCCTATATTAGTTATGGTTGGCAACAGAGGAAATTCCCTTACCCGTATCCATCTTCTTATCCTTGGCTTAAATGGAAAAGCTTCATTATCTAGGATTCCGGATTATTTCAATTAAAAGTCGGACTTCAGAAAGTACCAGGCTCATGTGAAGCTGAGAGAAAAAAGAAAGAGTTAACCTGAAATGTGAAATGGATATGAATGCTGTGCACCATTTATTTTTAGCTGAAAGCACATAATTTATTAAGAATGAACAAGAAAAAGGAAAGTCATCACTTTTACTCCAGTTAATAATGACCTACACTTCTCCCGTTTCCCACTGCTTTTTGTTCTGTGAAACTCAGAAGACATACAAAAAAAAAAAAAAAAAAATCCTGATGCAGCTTTTCCATCCAGAGGTCTTGTTAAAAGCTTATGAATCTTTTCTTAGATTAAACCTAACTTCAAAAGCTTCAACTGTGGTCTCTGTTTGTCATTGTGAAAAAGAATTAAGCACAGCAGAGCTAAGATCTTAGAGTGATGCTTCTTTTTTCTCCACTAAACACATTTTCTTTCAGAGCAGCTTCATGGACAAGCAGCCCACAAAGAAGGCTCAGAAAGAATAGTTTTTGCATTTTTTACTTATGTCATGAATCTTAACCTTGAGTTGCAGTGGTTTTTCTTTCATCAATCTGCAGAAGTCACAAAACACCTAAATTCAGCTCATTTATTGCTCATTTTCCTTTTACTTTATTTATAGATATGGGTGATAGTTTCTTGCTGTGGGGATTTGCATTCTCTGGGATCAGTCAAGGTCAAAGAACAGACTTTGTGTGCATTCTAAACCCTTTCAAATGTGTGTTCACCTCCTGATGTGATGCATTTTTTAAAAAAGACACCTTGCTCAGAATCAACTCACAGACTGTACTGCATTTTGTTTGTCTTCTATTAAAGAGTAAGCAGCTAAGTTTTCATTTCAAATTCCACATAAATGCTTTCAGAATAGCTTCAGTCTGGAGCTGTCTGGAGACAGGGAAGGTGTTAGAGGGCCTCCCGGAATCCTCCTCGCTCCTCATGCTTCTCCTTCTGAATGCATTCAGCTGTTTGGACACAGTATGGAAGGTCACAGGTTTTCTTCCCTGAGCCCTTTTCCTTTCTCTAAATTTGTTCCTATTCTCCCTTCTGTTTCTAAATCTAACATATTCAAAAAGGTGATGATAGATTTTATATAATATACATGTAATATACTGTATATAATGTAACATTTAATTACTAGATTCATTCATAGTTTATAAATATATGTTACACCTATACATAAGGGAATGAATAGAAATACATGCACTTAATTTCCAAATAAGGTATTATAAAATCTATTGAGAGGATAATGATCATTTAATAATGTGGGCTTGAAAGACTGACAGACGCATTGTTAGTTTCCTTACAAATTCCTTCTGGGAAGATAAGTAATTTTTGAGCATTTTGGGCATTCTAACCTGTAGGCAAAATTGAGTAAATAATAGTTATTAATCTGTAGGCTTTCTGTGAGAATTAAATTACAAAATGTGTATAAATTACTAGCTCAGGTATAAAGGAAGTGTTAAAAAAAAATGTGATTTGGGAGTTGCCGAATTACTTGCAACCCTGTCACTGAGCACGGTGTGAGGAGGTTCCTAAGGCTGAGACAAGAAATCAACCCATCATTTTTCTTTTATTTTAAAATGAAAAGCAAAAAATGATGATACAGAATTTCAAAGCAATATAATAGATTAACGACAGTTAATATATTGCATATTGTTATCTTCAAAGTAGCTGCTCAGATTACAAGATATAGGCATGAAAAAATGATCAAACAACGAAAGCACAAACTGTTCTTTTTGATGAACTAACAAAGATTACTAGTATAATTATCTATTATATATATATATATATACATATATATATGTATATATATATATATATATATTCTTTTCGTTTTTTCTTTTCTCGTTTCCCTCAGGCCAGTTGTTGTTTCCTTTTGAGACGTTTCTTCCCCTTTCACTTTCACAATAGCTACTGTACATTTTGGCTCCCGTTTACTCTGTCTATTTTTTACACCAGGGAGACAATATGTAGATTCACAAATCCCCATCATGAAAAAAGAATTTTCAGGACTGAGCAATGAGAGGAACATGAAGGGCTTTAGGCAGAAATTTAAAAATATACACTTAAAGAAATATAACTGTGGGCCTTGGGAGAGAGAGGTGAGGGAGCATCCATGCTTTTCTTAACAGTTGGAAACTCCAGGAAGAGTGAACCACTTTCCAGGAGGGTAGTAGCCCATTCAACCACAAGTTGCTTTCTTTCTCTTTTCTTTTCTTTTCTCTCTCTCTTTTCTTTCTTTCTTTTTTTCTTTCTTTCTTTCTCTCTCTCTCTCTTTCTTTCTTTCCTTCCTCCCTTCTTTTGAGTAGGTAATTTAAACATTGTTTGGATTCTTTCAGCCTGTTCCTTTATTTTAGTGCCAGGTTTCTGCTCTTCGCTTTCTCAGTTAAACCAACTTATAGACTTTTATTATTTCTGGGGAATTTTGAGTGTGATGGGTCTGGAAGAAAAGGAGCCTAAATTTAACAAGGGAACACTGATACGGACAGACTTGTATAACTTTGAGATCCAAAAGATGTGGTCTTCTTAAAAATACAATATTTAGTTATGACTTCGTTGTCTTCTTTTTACTGATCTCTTATTTGTTCTATTCTACCTCACACTGCCCTGATTTTTGCCCCCTGGTCTTACGAGGGTGCAGAAAGCCCAGTGGTGCATCTTCTTATTAACAGCTTCAGGCTAAGAAGGGGCATTGATTTTGCCAAGCCACAGATCAAAGATTTACCCTGACTGATCTAAAGGGGACCAAGGAAGCTATGTTTTGTTTGATGAAGAATAATCTTTTGATAAGGGGCCGGAGATTTAGTTCAGTGGTGTAAGCTTCTGCCTTGTAAGCGCATGGTTATGAGTTTAATCCCCAGTACCAATAAAAAAAAATAAAATAGTAAAATTAAATTAAATTAAATTAAAATAATCTTTTGATAGCCTGGAAAAGGAGGAAAAGACATCACCAAGTCACTGACACTTAAAATTTATTTTATAACTTTGTTAAATAACCCAGGGACAGAAATCAACAGCAGAATATTGATAAATAGTGACTCCAAAATTTGCTAGAAGTCAGTGACATTTGGCACATACCTTTTACATTTACTATTACCACCTATTTGTTTGGACCAAAATGCAACTCTACCAAAATGCAGCAGGTAAAGTTTGAAGCATACAGATCTTCCCTGTTTTATCTGTAAGAAACCTATTTAAATTATGCTGGTGATGAAAATACTAAATAAATATATTTATATATTTTGACAGTTGGACATTTAAATTTTTGTAAAATTTTATAAGGCTATATTTTTAGTCCAGAAGACCTTTTGCAATTATTGACCTTAGATAATATAAACAAATAGAAAATAGTGTGTATCTCCAAGGTAACAAAACTTAATAGCTGGAATATTTATATAGCTAAAGGAATATTTCTTTTTCATTTTGTAGGCATAAAAGAAGCTAAATCTTTACCTGAGAGGTATTTAAAAATACTGTCAAATAACATCCTGGGAATATAATAAGAGAGGCTGAGGGACACATTTTTGTGCAAGGTTAACAGGACTGGGTATCAAAATATTTCTAAAGCTGTTGATGTAGTCTTTGGAGCTCCTTTTTTTATTTCTAACACAGATTTTTATTTATTACTATTATTATTATTATATTATTATATCTCATACACTCATGCTCTATTTCTCTCTCTTACTCTCTCACTCTCTTTTCTCCTGGGTATTTATAATCGAGTTAATGTTTACCTAATAATGAAAATGAATATATTTATATCTATTTGTCAAGGTCAGTTAAGGCTCCTCAAAGATTACTTTGCTGAACATATGGAAAGACTCTTAACTGATCTGATTTGTCCTTTTATTTTCCTCTATCACTTGTCTCATCTGCCAGGATGAGTTATGACCCTTGTTTAACCATAATCTTTGTTTGACTTATTCATGTAGAAACTTAGGGGACATTTCTCTCTGTAGTAGTCCTGAAGTATGTTTTAGTAGTCTCTTCTTTTTAAGCCAGTGTATACTGGTTGCCTTTTGTCCTCTACTATCTTACAGACAGTCTTTCTGGTAAGGAGGTTGGCTGACTAATCAGAGAAGTAGGATCCTTTTAGGGGAGTGGCATCATGCCCTGGGGTCTTGGTTGATCCTGAAGTTCAAGGACCAAACTACTAATTGTATTAGCTCAGTTAATTTTTTTCCACTTTGCTCTCCCAAGGTTCAGTTGTTGAATAGCCACAGGTTCAGTTACATCAATCTTGAATTGAGTAGTTTAGGTTTTAATCTTAAATACTACAGTCTTTTCAAATACTACATATTTTGACAACACAAAGTATGACTAGAGAACAACTACATTTTCTATTAATCATGGTCATCATTAAATCATTGTTATATTTTAACTTTATGTAGATTATGGCCTACCATCTTAATATACTGCTTAAATTGTCTTTTTGAAGTCATAGTTCTGCAGTATTTTATTAGAAAACAGTTATAGAGTTCTACAAGGAGAATAACATTTTAGCATAATTATGATGACATAATTGTATTAGAACCACTAGGTTTTTATAGCTCTGAAAATATTTGTAAGGTTCCATTTTAGTATAAAATAATATCCATAGGTCAGCTTATCCAATTATAAAATATTACAAATTCTCATTTAAATTTGTTACTTTTTAAATACAGTAACTGCGTAGAATGTACTTGTTTATAGATTTACTTTATAGATAACTATTGCCCGATCTTTAGTTTTTAAAGTAGCATTGCTTGGGAAGTATATTGTTTGGACACACTTAATTATTATAATTTTAAAATAGTGCCATAAAGGTAAGCCTGAAAAAGTCTGTCCTTCTAAACAACTTTAATCAGGAGGTCATCAGTATGATGGCAAGTTTTCCTAAATTCCACATCATAGAAGACCTGTACTCTTGTAAAACCCAAATGTATTTAATATACCATAAGGTTAACAATAATTAATATCACAGCAATATACAAATCCTTATATATATTTACTTAGTTTTTATTCTTATAGATTCCTTTGACATATTTACATGGTCTA